GCCTCCCAAGTAGCTGGGACCACAGGTGCCCGCCACAATGCCTGGCTATTTTTTGGTTGCAGCCGTCATTGTTGTTTGGTGGGCCTGGGCTGGAACCTGCCACCTTAGGTGTATGTGGCTGGCACCTTAGCCACTTGAGCCAGAGGCGCCAAGCCCAGTTTGGGAACATTTAAGATTGCTTACCCTTTGGTAGGGGAGAGTGGTAGTTGATAGAATGTCCCTTTGCCTCCACACCTTAGTATCTGTTTACTTTTTTAACTCACAAATTCAGTTTAATTTATGATCTCTTAAAACCCCACACTGTACCCCAGAAGTGCATTAATGTACATAGTTACCGTTCAATTAAAAAAAAATAATTTATGATCTCTTATAGATATTGGCCACTTGCCCAAGTTTAATTATATTAAATAATTATATAATTTAATTAATATTATAATTAATATTAAGAATATTATAATTATATAATTTTAGGAATTAATATTAGGAATATTAAAATTATATAATTTAATTAATATAATATTAGGAATATTATAATAAATATTAGGAATATTATAATTAAATTTTAGGAAAATTTACCAGCAGTCAGTGACAAAATACGATTGAAATTTGCATGTTGTGTGTGCTCTTGACTTATAAGCATATATTACTTAAGGGGACTTAGTAAAAAACAAACCTACTTGTGGGTTGTAGGGCGTTTGGAGATGTGCTTAACAATTGAGCTCCTGAATTGAAGCATGAGGGGGAAGGGAATGAATTGGTTGGTCTTGAAAAGAGGCCAAACAGAAATCTGTGAGGTGAGTAGTAATGTCTTTTTCTTAGCTGATCTCTGGTTGGGAAAGGCTTGTGGGGCTGGAACCAGGGCCTGAGAGGCAAACCATGCTGTTGCAGATGGATCTCAATGTTATGAGGGAGCTGTACAGAGAGGGGAGAATGAGGTTCAGGATTATTTAAAATAGACTAGGGTGTGAGAGCCAATGAAGAACTTAGTTCTAGGAAAAATAGGTGGTGGGTTCAAACCTGGCCTGGGCCAGCTAAACAACAATGACAACTGCAACAAAAACATAGCCGGGTGTTGTGGTGGGCGCCTGTAGTCCCAGCTACTTGGGAGGCTGAGGCAAGAGAATTGCTTAAGCTCAAGAGTTTGAGGTTGCTGTGAGCTGTGATGCCATGGCACTCTACCAAGAGCAACATAGTGAGACTCAGTCTCAAAAAAAAAAACGATTTTACTTGTTATTCCACTCTATTTTCCTGGGTTTTCTGAGACTATTCTGTGTAATAAAAAGGAACGGAGCACTTACTTCTTGGGAACTTGGCTTATACTTTGCCATAAGATGGATGGATTCCTTCTATAGAATTTTGGTAAGGAAGAACTGAAGAACATACCTATAAATAAGACTTTTATTGTTTTGCATTAATAATTTGGAAAGTTGCATGGGTCCCTTCAACTTACAAATGGCAAGTTATACATTTTACTTAAAAATTGCCTTGCTTTTGGTAAATGTAGACATAGGGCTAACTTCATGTAAGCAGTGTTTAATTTTAGCATTTTTTATTCATTTACAATATGCTGGGTAGAAACATTGTTAATTAAAAACTTAAAAA